TACACAATTATTTAAAATTATATTATCTGGTGTTATCACAGTTGACAGTTTTTTTTTAAATAAGATACAATTTGTTTTGTTCTCATTTAGAATTAGGCGATTGTTTAGGAACCATTTGCTTGCCTTTTCCATTAGATTGTTACTGCCTATTAGGAGATCATTAATGTTTTTTGATGTTTAATAATTAAATATTAAAATTAAAATTGTATTTATTTATTCTTGAAAATCATTTAATTAGAGAGATTATGCGCCTTTTTCACTAAGATGATCCTCCTAGCCTGCATTATCTCTTGTATAATAACATACTATTATGTAGGGGAAGGTGGGGGAATTCTGCGCATCTAAGCAAAATCTTTAGTATCTTTGTTAAGTTTAAATGTGAAATTTTGCAATTAATACCAGCGATAGTCTACTATGTTTACTATGTGTATATAATGCGCAATTTGGTATTTGTTTGGTATGCAAAAACTACATTTTTTAAAAATAATGCATTTGCGCAAAATTACCCACCTATCAGGGTAATTTTGCGCATCATAGGGGGAAAATTTGCACTGTATAGAGAAAGATTTGTAGGTATCTAAATAAACCGTTTATTTCTATAATATTATTATATTAAAACATAAAAATAAAACAAAACTATTTTCTCTATGAAACAAACAAAACAAACAACATCAAAAATAAATAACTAAAAATAAAAACTTTGTTCTTAGAAATTAGAGGAGGGTCTACATGCAGCATTTGTCACATATGTAGTTTTAGGGGTTGTTTTTTTAGCTACACTCCGCGTGTGCCCAAATGGAACTGTTTATACTGAACAATCTAGGCTCCTGTACCAAAGCTCCCATATTGGCCAAATTTTGCAGCGCAAAATTACCCCAATTTTTCAGCGTAAAATTACCCCCATTGCAAGAACAATATTGTGATACTAAAAAACTTTCTAAAAGTTAACCTGAACAATTTAAACATACATCAGATTACGAGGAAAGATCATATAAAGTTGTGTTATAAACATTTAAGCGATTGGACAGAAATTTAAACTTAACTCATATCGGAAACGACATGGATTTCTTAGATCAACGTACATGTACCTACATGTATCACAGTTTACTGGTCACTAGCTAAAACCTACAAGGTTAATTGCGGTACACTTTAGTCCCCGTATACCCAAAGCAACGTTCCCAAGGCCCTGGCGAAAATGAAATGTGCAAAAAGTGTGCAAATTTATTTGAGAACAATGTGCAGAGGGTGGGAAATGGAACATAAAACAATGTGCAAAACCAAAAATTTACCATTTATCACGCTTATATTACACCTTTTTATAGCACATTAACAGTGTGTATAAATTGTGACATGCGTAAGATAGACTGAAGCTTTGCAAAGTTGTCTTTAAACAATGTACTAAAACTGTGCAAACAATGTGCAAAAAAATAATTTAATATAAGCGTGACAAGTGACAAATAAAAAGCGTGATATCAATGTACATAAAGAGTGAAAAAACTAAATTATTTCAAAAAGTGTGACATTACCACAAAATAGCGTCTTTGCGCATTGTTATAAAGACTTGCACTCTAAATACACACTTATTGCACACTTTTCGTGCACGCTTTATTTTCGCCAGGGGGTTGCAACATTCAAAAAATGTATTATTTACTTCATATCTGGAAGAATTGTTTATGCGTAAAATTACCCACCGCGCAAAATTCCCCCACCTTCCCCTACTCACTACAAATGAATTAGTCAAAAATTACTAATTTAATTGTTATTAGTGGCTGCTTTTTCACTTGTACCATGGTTAACCATGGTTAACCATGGTATCCCAAAATTTAACAGACAATTCTTATGTAAAATTGTCCCCTGAATCCGAAAATACCAAAATTATGAAAGTGGAGCAGTTTTTGAGATACAGTCAATTCCATATTAAATGGAAAATTGACTATATCTCAAAAACTACTTTTTTAACTTTTGACGACATTTTCGGATTCAGGGGACAATTTTACATAAGAATTTGCTGTTAAATTTTGGGATACCATGATATCCCATGGTACAAGTAAAAAAGCAGCCACTAATAACTATTAAATAAGTCATTTTTGACTAATTCATTTTTGGAGAGTACTTATTATTCGTTATTTTCCAAGTTGATTTTACGCTTTACAAAAAAGTGTTGTATGTTTTTTTAGTAAAATCATCGATTTAAATGTTATCGGAGGTTAAAATTTGAAATAAATCAAAATGAAAAGTATTGTCATTATCATTTTTTTAATAAGTGGCTTTTTTACTTGGGTAACATTTAAATACAGTTTAAAAATAATTTAAAAAAATGTTTATTCCGATATTGTTTAACCCTGCCTAAATAATGATACTTTTAATTTATATTATTTGATATATTTTAAAGTTTGACTTCGGATCATTTAAATGGATGATTTTACAAAAAAAACGTAAAAGACCTATTTTGTAGAGAGTAGGTTCATTTTCAACTCTTGAAATATCACAGCTAAACGCTGCACTGTATATTCCAAATCCGTACTCGGATTAGCTGTATCAGGTCTAAAAAAGTTTTTCCTGTAGGAAATCCGATCCGGGGAAACACTGTATACTTTTTATTTCAATTAATATAAATATCCTAAATTATACTCAATAAAAAAAAATTAAAAACCCTCAGAAACACGTGTTCCTTTTGGTCAATTAATTAAGTTAACTTAAAATTTTGCAAGAATTTGTTTTTTTTTAAATTTGGAACTAATGTATGGGTCCAGCCAAATTATTTTTTTTTAATTTATAAAGGGTGTTGAAATTTATTAAGGGTGTTTCCAATATCTTTGAATTTTGACCTCATACAGCTAAACCGAGCATGGGTTTATAATCTACGACCAAAAAATAAGTTTATGCACGATGACATTATAATATGACAATTATAACAAAAATACTTTGACGTAAACGTCTTTTTATAGCCCGCGGGCGTTATTATGACCCAGCGGGCTATAATGAAACGTCAAAAATTAAAAACAACAATGTTACACCATTTGATATATTCGAAGTAAGTTTTTTCGTATAAGGATTTTGATTTTTCCGGCAGCAGGCCGCAATTTTTCGCCTTTTCAGCTGCTTCCTCAATTTCATTCATCTTTAAACTTTAAAACTGACTGATGTCAGTTGACATTATAATATGACAATTATAACAAAAATTCTTTGACGTAAACGTCTTTAAAAACAATAATATATTAAAAATAATAATATATTAATCGTGCATAAAGTTTTGTATGCATTGCTGGCATAACTGGTTTTTATGGTCCTACGACGCTTTTCTAGCCCTTGCGCTAACGCGCTCGGGCTCGAAATAGCGCCTCGGACCATAAAAACCTTATTATGCCCTTAATACATAAATAACTATTAAGTGTCCGATCTGCAGTGTTATAAGCGACTTATGAAGTTTTTATATCAATGCAAATGAATAATAATAATCATTTAGGCAGGGTTAAACAACATAAAAAATATGTTTTTTTTAACAAAAAAATTAAACTGTATAATTTATATTATACTATGTGAACTAAAAAAATACAAATAAAAGCCGACTTAAAATGAAATTCAAAAGAAATTTTTTTAATTTATTTTAAAATTGTCCTTCGATTTTATAAAAAAAAACGTAAAATATCTTTTTTGTAAAGTGTACAATTTCCTACAAAATATGTATTTTATATTGTTGCATGTCTATAAGTAATTATTAGCGAGTTTTGAATATTTTCTTATGTCATTAAAATGTTATTTTTTCTAGGTAAATAGTGTTTATGCGTACATGGCTTTTACTACAAGGAGGACAATTTACAAATAAATTTTCTACATATATGTCACAGTCTGTGACTCACAAAGGAAAAAGAGGTTTTATTGGTTTTAAAGATCTATAGTGAGCTACGTTTTTATTTTAGAAGTTCTTCAAAACATTTAAAGTTACCAATCACAAACAATTTTCTTAATATTTAATAAAACATAATTCTTGATAGCCTTATCGTAATTCTATTTGTCTCATGTATTATAACACGTATATAGGTATTTTTTCTGGAGAGTTTACATGAACACGAGAGATTTCCTCCTCCTGGGGCTGTAGAGTTTCATCGTTTTATTTACCCAATTTTCAAATACTCTCCAAAAAATTAATAGATTTTAATGTAAACCAGAAAAAGCTTTCAAATATAATTATAATATTTGTAAATACTCTGGATTTGTTCAAATATTTACCAATATTATGTCATTGGAAAATTTTTCAAAAGCCTAATATTTGTCCAAATAAACTGTTTATTTGGGCAAATATGCCTAGACAAGCCAATGAGCTTATTGGAAAATTTATATAAATAAATGTATTAAATAAACAAATTAAAAAATATGAAGTTATATTATATATTATATTATAAACATATTATATAATAATATGTTTATAATATAATATATATATATATATATATATATATATTATATTATTATTATTATTATATTATATTATAAACATCAAAATTTTGTCATCGTTTTCCATGCCCAAACATTCCCAAAACTAAACCAACGGTAACCTACCTAACTTAATCCAAACTGCTTTTACATATATGGATGGCCAACAATAAATTATCAAATTGTAATAATATATTATTACAATTACAATTTGATAATTTATTGTTGGCCATCCCGATTGCACAAAAATCATAGGAATATTAAGTCATATATTGTACATTTATTTGAACATTCTTGGCAAAGTTTTATCCTAATATGGCTCTCTGGGTAATACCCAGTGGGTATATTGCTAAAGATTACTAAAGATTTTAAAGTACGAAAATATATTTTCGTACTTTAAAATCTTTAGTAATCTTTAGCAATATACCCACTGGGTATTACCCAGATATATCTAAAAATTATAAAGTAAGTGAAAGTGAGTGTACTACTAAAATGTAAAAAAGTAGTATTTGGAAACATTAATTAAAGGACAAAGACTATAGTTTAGTGAAGGACCTAACCTTAAAATGAGCACCTGCTCAAAATGTGTGAAAACCTGGAGCTCCAAGGAACTTTTTAACTGTGATGATTGCAGATCGGTCAATTGTATATCATGCAGTGGACTTACTGCTACAGAACTAAAAGTTATGGAACTTAAAAAGAAAACGAAGCTTTTTCGATGCGGAGAATGCACTGCCAACACCTACACGAAGAAAGATGTAAATGAACTAAAATTAAAAATTGAATATCTAGAAAAAGAAATATCCATGTTAAAGGAACAAGTTTCAGACAAAAACATTATCATAAGTGATAAAACTAAAATAATAACATTACAGGAAGAGAAGCTTGGTAAAAATCAATTTAAACATGAAATACAAAAAACAAACATCAAAAAAAGTGATAAGGAAACCATAACTCAACCACATCAAAAAGAAGACAACAATAAAAAGGAAAATTTTACTGAAACACAAAACAAAACCAATAAAGGTAATTTATATAGTACGATCACCAAAACCTCCTATGAAGAACTAGCCAATGCTCAGGCAACAAAAACAAGTCAATTGATTAATATAAACAACGACATTCTACTAGAAAATAAGACAACTAAAAAAACAATTAAAAAAAAGAAGATAAATTATGGCTCAAATAAGGTGGATAGGAAATTTCAAGGTACACCAAAAAAGATCTGGCTCTTCATATCAAGAGTAAATAAGGATGTCTCAAAAAATGACATTATTGAATTTTTAACGGATAAACCGAACTTGAGAGAAAGGGAATTTATCGTAGAAGAAGTCCAAGTGAATAGAACGGAAACAAAATGCTTTAAAGTTGGGGCTGATTATGACCTATTGGAGGTTATATATAAGCCAGATTTTTGGCCAAATGGAATAGGGTATAGCAGGTATTACTTTCCAAAAGAGCATAACAAAGGTATCATGAAGACAAATTTTCAAACAGCACAAGAACCAACACCAGGCATATAACCAATGAAAATAAAACCACAAAAGAGACAATCTGTTTAATACATCAAAACATACAAAACTTAAAAAGTAAAACACTCGAAATAAACGTTTTATTAACTAGTTTAAATATATCTCCTGATATATTATGCTTTACTGAACACTGGTGTACAAAGGAAGAAATAAATTGTGCTATAATACAGGACTATTCATTAATCTCCAGTTTTTGTAGGGTTATTCAAACTCGTGGAGGATCCAATATATATGTTAAAAATAATACTGATTACCAGGATGGTCCAGATCTACAACAGGAAAATTTAGAAGGTATTATTGAATGCTCATGTGTATTTAGTAAAACTAACAAAATCGCAATAATTTGCATATATAGGCCATGCTCTGGTTCAAAAGAGTTATTTCTACAATATTTAGACAAACTTCTTCAAAAATTAACAAAACAGTTTAACAAATACACAATCGCAATCTGTGGAGATTTTAACATAAATTTATTTAATAATGACAAAAATACTAAACTATTTATGGATCTATTAAAATCATACAACTTTAACCAAACCATATTTAAAGCCACAAAGGAATATCAAGGATCTTCTACATTAATCGATAATATTTTTATTAATATAGAAAATTTCTTTCATGGAGAGGTGATTGTATCAGCGCTTTCTGATCATCATGCTCAGCTGCTGAACTTTGAAGTACCTAAAAAGGAAAAAAACAAAAATCAATACAAAAGGCTCTTTACTACAAGGAAATTATTTTACTTTAAAGAAGAAATTAGATTGGAAGACTGGTCACAAGTATAAAATATTTTCTGTAAAACTTGTTAAAGAAGGTCGTAAAAAATGGATTACTAATGGAATTATTACATCTACAAAGAATAAAAGAAAACTATATTTGCAAAAAGTTAAAGGTGAAATAAGTATAGAATTTTACAAGAAGTATTGTAAAACTCTAAAAAAAGTCATTAATGTAGCTAAACACAAATCTGATGAAAGATACATAAAAACATCTTTAAATAAAGGAAAAGCCATGTGGAATGTTATAAAAAATTATACAAAAGGAACTAATAATATTAAACAATCTTTAACAGAAAATTTAAACTCAAACAATCCCATAGCAACATTAAATGAAATTAATAGCTTTTTTATAAACCAGTGTAATCAAGAAAAAAAAAACAATTCTATAAAATTAAAAACTGCTGATAAATCAATATTTTTAAAACCAACCAACTTTACAGAAGTATTCAATATTATTATGGATCTAAAAAATACTGCTTCAGCTGGACTTGATGAAATAACTGTCAGCTTACTTAAAAATTCAGCCTTGGAATTACTAGAACCTTTAACTTATTTAATAAACTTAACGCTAAGCACAGGCATTTTTCCAGATCTGCTTAAAATGGCAGAAGTTGTTCCAAAAAAGGAGACAAAACGAAATTTGACAATTATAGGCCCATAGCACTCTTATCAAACGTCAGTAAGATTTTTGAAAAAATAATTTACCAAAGAATCATTTCATACCTTGAACAGAACCAAATGTTATCAGACACACAAAATGGATTTAGACGGAATAAGTCAACATCAAGAGCCATATTTCAGAGCCTTAAATTACTATTGGATGCTCTTAATAATAAGGAAAAAACATCATTAGTATTTATTGATCTAACAAAAGCTTTTGACAGTGTAAGTCATAAAATACTTTTACAAAAATTAGAATACTATGGAGTGAGAGGAATAGCCCTTAAATTGATCTTTAGCTATCTGGATAATAGAAAACAAAGAGTAATAGAAAGAACATCTGAAGGTTTTAAAATAAAATCCGAAGATAAAATCTATGAAAGAGGGGTACCACAGGGATCAATTTTGGGGCCACTACTTTACATAATATATACAAATGACTTACCTGAGTTTATAGATGTTCCTGTCGTGTCATATGCTGATGATACAACCATTCTAGTAAAAGAAAACTCACTGGTGGAACTACAGGCAAAAATATTAAGTTCACTGGATATCCTGGAAAAATGGTTTACCAACAATAACCTAAAAATAAATGTAAACAAGACACAACTCATTAACTTTTCGTTTTGGAAAAATGATGATAAATTAACACTTACCAAGAACAATATTGAAATATCAACACAAAAATCTGCTAAATTCCTCAGAGTATATATTGATTCTAGGCTTGATTGGACAGTACATGTACAACATTTAGCAACAACATTGGCAAGAGACATATATGGACTCAAAGTTATAGCAAACAATGTAAATAAAGAGGCTGCAATAATTATGTATAATGCATACGTGGAGTCCAAGCTCAGATATGGATTAATTTTCTGGTATAATTGATACGTATAGAAGTTCTTCAAAAAAAAAATGCATAAGAAATATATTTAATCTTAGCCAAATCACATCATGCAAGCCATACTTTTTAAATAATAATGTTCTGACTCTAGCTAGCCTTTACATCTATGAGGCAGTAATGTTCATTAAAAAAAATGAAGACCTCTTTGACTGTCAAAACCATACGTACAGCACAAAACACAAGCAAAATTTATCAACAGATTTATTACGTTATTCGTATCTACAAAAAAATGTTTGTTATAGAATAGTGAAAATATATAATTACTTACCGGCTATCATAAGAAAACTTCCTCACCAAAAACTTAAAAAGCATCTCCGATTTGTATTAACCCAACGATGTTACTATTGCATTGAAGATTTTATGAATGATAAACAAATACAATGTTTAGATACATGGAAAGTCAAGGCCAACGCAACCGAGCAAAACACTTTTTTGTGAAATATGATTTATTTTTTTATTTATCTTTGTATAGAACACAGACAAAATAGACTTGCCTTAGCGGCCATTCCAAGCCCATGGACAGGACACATCAGAAACATGTCTAAATATATTCTTGTTACTTCCTTAAGTTTACTTATTTTTTCTACGAGTATTTATGAGAAGTATTAGCCAAATTTGGCTAATACTTCTCATAAATACTCGTAGAAAAAATAAGTAAACTTAAGGAAGTAACAAGAATATATTTAGACATGTTTCTGATGTGTCCTGTCCATGGGCTTGGAATGGCCGTTAGGGAGAAAATGATACGGCCGGGCGGGTGCCTGAACGGGTGCCTGTTTTCCAGTTCGCATCATTCATATTTGAGCAGTTGACCTGTGAGGATATATTATTTATGTAAAATTCTTTGAACATTATGGGTAAATGTGTTGTCAAAGTGTGTCCTAGTCGTAGTGAAACTAGTTCCAGCCAATTTCAACCAATTTCCTTTTTCCAGTAAGTAGTAATTACGAGATAAATTTTAAGCGATTTTATTAATTTTGCATGTCAATACCTTGCGTGCGCACACAGATGTTGTATTGTTCTCTCCTGTGCACAGAGCCGTACTTCGTTCATTCTGGAGCGTAAAACTAGATGAATTTCTTTGATAATCCACTAGGAATATTTTAAATTAGATACCGCTCGTACGAAATTATTTAATACGGGCCTGGCAGAATACATATCTTCTCTTATATAATATATAATATAATGTATACATTCCCTTGCCCCCCTTCCCCAATTTATGGCACGCTGGTTTCATGTTAGCGATACTGAACAGGGCAAGTCTATTTTGTCTGTGGTATAGAATATATGTATTAATTATTTAACTTTGAATTTGACATGTTTTACGCCAATTATATGTATACATATGTATGGTATTTTAAACAAATAAACGATATTATTATTATTATTATTATTATTACTATGTATCATTATATCCGATATGATCCAAATTCTTATACACGTTTCGGATAGTTGTAAAACTTTTCTCCTCCAATAGGACGACTATAATAAGAAGCCCAGGAACAGGGCCGGATTAAGAAAATTTGTTGCCCTATTCTAATAATAAAATGGCGCCTATAATAATTTTTATAGGCCATGTTAGTACCTATGGTTTTAATACTTATAACACAATACATTTTAGCCGACATATTTCCAATTTTGTTATTAAAATAAAAAAAGGTACTCTCTAAAAATGAGTTATTTAATAGTTATTAGTGGCTGCTTTTTCACTTGTACCATGGTTAACCATGGAATACCATGGTATCACAAAATTTAACAGCCAATTCTTATGTAAAATTGTCCCCAATTACATATTAAATGGAAAATTGAATATATCTCAAAAACTGTTCTTTTTTAACTTTTGACGACATTTTCGGATTCAGGGGACAATTTTACATAAGAATTGTCTGTTAAATTTTGGGATACCATGGTATCCCATGGTTAACCATAGTACAAGTAAAAAAGCAGCCACTAATAACTATTAAATTAGTCATTTTTGACTAGTTCATTTTTAGAGAGAACAGTTTAGTATACCTAGTTTACACCACTATAAAGCCTATTAATTTATGAGCAAATACAATAAAGCTCTATTAAGGTATACCTCATGCAATAATTTGACAAATTAATTTTGACCTAAAATGTTGTTTTCTAGACTACCGTGCGATGCCCACCTGTTTGACGACTGTTTGGTGCTTACTGGGATGTGGCCAATATTTTATCTGGGGTTAATATAGAACTTATTTAGCCGATTTGGCCCTATATTGTCGTAAAATGATTATCCAATATATCAATGCCAATGTTTGTTCAATATAGCTCCAACATGTAACATTTTCGCCAATATGGGTAGCATATATATATGCTCTCAGAGCATATATGCTGTCAGAGCATATATGCTGTCAGAGCATATATGCAGTCAGAGCATATGTATATGCTGTCAGAGCATATACCCTGATAGCACAGTTTATTCTAAGAATGTTTTTTAAACCTTCCAGTGGGAATGTTCTTAGGATCATGCTATATTTCTTCTAGTGATGTTCTAAGAATGTTTTTTAAACCTTCCAGTGAGAATATTCTTAGGATCATGCTATATTTCTTCTAGTCATGTTCTAAGAATGT